GTAGGGAAATTCACCAAGTTCAGACCTCTGCCCAGCCTTGGGCTGCGCGTGGTAAATGAAGTGTTGTGATGGAACTAAACTGCTTTGTTTTCCCTGTGTTTAAGTTGGAGTAATGTGTGAGTTGCCATGAAGTTTATGTGATTGAGCAGCATAATCCTCATGCCCTGCTAAAAGGGTGTGTTTTTGCAGCTGCCCTCTCCCTGCTGCCGTAACTTGTAGTGCTGGCAGAACTCACCAGCAGAAAACAACCCTGTGACTCCAGCCAGCGCTTGCCTTAACAGAGTAAATGGGTGAGAGTGTGCTGTTAGTGCCACTGTGGGATCCTGTTGTAGTCAGTAAAAGTTCAGAGGGACTCAACCAGCACAACAATACATAGTTAACCAGTGCCTAGTTGTAGAAGATATTTATTTGTTCTCTGCAATCCACAGTTCTTAGCTACCTTTGTTCTTACAAACACTAGGTGTGCTTTGCATGTGCAAGCTGTGAAATCATTATTGCGCTATGGGGGATACAGTATAAATACATAAGCCCTTTTTAAAGTAAGTTTCCTTGAAAATGTGGCCCTTTAAAATGTGATCTTTGGCCCCACTTGTGAATTTTTTACTAATCACATTGGCATTTGACACATGAAATATTAAATTCAGTGCAAACCCCTCTTGAGTCCATCCTTTTTAAAGTGTTGTGCTTATTCCAACATTGGGTCTGGCTGCTCAAAGTGCACTATTTTATTTCATACGTTTAGTATTTCCTAGTAATTATTTTTGTTACCAGTTGACAGTTTGTTATTTCTACTGCTACTTCAAAAGCTTTAATACTAAAAATTTGCTTTATTTCTTCTCCCCCCCCAAGAACTTTTCTGGTGTTAAGTTGTCCCAGTCCCAGGGTCCCACTCACACAGAATACTTACGCATGTGCTCAACAGCTTGCATCCTGGCCTCGATTCACCTCCATTTCCCTCTAAAGTAATGCCACCTGAATGCTCGCAATGAGGAGGACTTAGTAGAGTGACTGAGGACTTAATACAGTGTCACCCATAAGGGTGATGGGAAAATCTTTTATGTAGGAGGCTCTGAAGTCCATTGTTAGCAGTTTGGACAGCTCCTGACACAGGCTGTTCTAGGCAATGCAGGCTTTATCACAACCTGATGTATGGCATCACTGAGTGTGCCATCTCTGAGAAGGTACAAATATACACCAATAATCCAACAAGGCAAAAATAATCCTCCAAGGAAGCTAGGAACAGAGAAGGAGCAAGGAGGATGGATAAGGTATTCGGTTCTCCTAGGAGACTATTAGATATGTTGCTGAAAACTTTGTATGCCAGAAATATTAACAAAGTCAGACTTGATCTTGGTGGGGGAAAAAAATGGGCTTGCACTGTGCTTTGGGTGTTGGCTTTTTTGTTGCGTGTTGTGTTTTGTTTTGGTTTTTTATTGTGTTTTCCCATCTCCTCCCCCAAATATGAGCAGGAATTTCACATGCAGAAATGCAGGAATCTGTCTGTGTGGTGACTAGCAAATGCAAGAGTCATTCCCTTTTTCTCTGCTCTGTTTGCAGGTCATTAAATGCAAAGCAGCAGTCCTGTGGGAAGCCAATAAACCGTTTTCTATTGAGGAAGTAGAAGTTGCCCCACCAAAAACACATGAAGTTCGCATAAAGGTAGTAAAAATAAAATTTAAAACAACCATTTTGACTTGCTTTCTATCTTGCTGCTTACCGGAATTGTTTCTATAGATTTTTAGGATCCAGTTGGAAAACATTCACTAGGTGAGTAGTTACTATTCAGTGAGCCTCTGTGGAACATGCTTCAAGTCCTAAATTGGATCATGAGGTTCTTTTTTAAAAAAAAAGTTTTTCAGCATTGCGATTTCTGTTTATTGAGACACCTGTGCTCCTAATAGGCTGAAAAAATTACAGTACAAGGCAAAAATCTGAATCTCTTATAGAGTGGAGCAAGAGCTTCTTTTTTCTTTGAATCTGTGAAACAGCTCCGTGGGGCTGGGGGCTCCGTTTTTAACTGCGTATTGAGCATCTGTTACATTTCAGGAACTTTCTCAGTGGAATTCAGCAGCTGTTTTCATTCTAGAGAAATTTCCAGTGTTACACAAGGGAGGAGAACCCTCTCATGAAGTTGACAACTCCCGTTTGTCAGAATAAAAGTTGTAAAGACATACTCAAATGTTTCAAAAGAAGTACTGCTGTGCCACCTGCAAGAAAAGGCAAAATGTGCTATAAAATATGTGTAGCCTAAATTTTGGTATATACACCAGATATATACTTAAAATCTAGAAATATTATGTAATGTAATTATATATAACAGTGTATAATTGTATAATACATATTTTATATAACATGATACATTTTAATATAACCTAAAAGTAAGGAATGCAAAAGATATATTTCTATGTTTATAAATAATATGCAATAGTTAATTTATATTTGAATAATTTTTAATATTTCTATAATATTGCAACCTTTTTGTATTTATGTATTTATATACAAACATTAGGAATACTTTATTTTATTCTGTTTTTCATATGTAATTGCTAGAACACTGGTTCTGCCAGCTAATCAGTGAGACTCCCTATAGAGCTCAGTAGTGCACAGCAAACACGCACAAAAGAGCCTTGCTTTGGAGATTAAAGACTTGCGCAAACTGTGAAAATCATGAGCCACGCAACCAAAAGGGTTTGACCTGGAGATTTATCGTGCGCATATGTGATTTTTGAGGGAAGCGAGCAACGTCTTCTAATATATGATATTTCACTTCCACATACAACATGGCAGGGTTAAATGCTGAAATGTTCTTGTCTTTCCTCTAAATCAGATCGTGGCAACAGGGATCTGTCGTTCTGATGACCATGTGGTGACTGGTGCGCTGGTTATGCCTTTTCCAATCATTCTTGGGCATGAAGCAGCTGGTGTTGTGGAGAGTGTTGGGGAGGGAGTAACTTCGATGAAACCAGGTATGAAACAGCGCTGAACACAAACCCTGTGCTGAGTTTCCAGACTCCTGTTTAAGTCAAAAATGATGATATGCATCAATACTTGTATCGCAGAGGAAAATGTTCCAACTTTGAGATTTTTTTCAAGCGTTCCTTAAAGGACAGTACGTGCTGTTTACATCTTTCTGTGTATTATTTTCAGATTTTGCTATTTAATTTCTTTTGTTTTTGGCAAAACCATCTGCATCTTGCTTTCCACCTACAGAACAGTTTTCCTGTCATGGGATTAAGAACATAGATTGTTTGCTGTTGGTCATAGGAAATCAGGTATTAGCTGCAAGTTCTTTAAACACAGTTTACACAGCTCATCTCTCCCAAGAATAAGGCAAAGCAAAGCCCTAGACAACATATCAAAGCACCTTCTTTTAATTCTCCTAACAGCTAAATAATCCATTGACCTCAGTAGAGCAGAACTTAGGTCTGTGTGTTCAATTCCTCCTCTTCAAAAGTGTCAGGGCACGACTGGAGTGCCCATCCTGTGGCAGGCTTTGCATGTGTGCAGCGCCAGTGCTGGTGGGTCAGCACCGCTCACCGACGGCTGTTTTGCTCCGAGGACACTTAATTGTGCCTTTTGCTACACTCTCTTTGAACCACAGTGGGTAGATAGAGAAGTCAGTGGAAAATGCTGATTTTCCTCCAGCTGCAGCAATACGAGATGGGATTTCTATACGCTTTTACAGGACCAGACAAATTCTAACAAGGGCTAAATTATTCAGACAAGATATGCAGTGAACAAAAACTGCACAGAAATGCTCCATTTTATCCAGGCAATTTGTTACAATACCCAAGGAGTTTTAACACCTCTGTCCTTCCAGTGTCTTTGTTCCCACTGGAAACAAGAGTGAAGTCCATCCAAAGCAGGTCATTTTGTATGATAAGAAAAAGCTTTCTTAGAGATTTCTGCTTTAACTCCGAACAAATATATATACTGCAAATTTCAGTGATACCTCTAACTGCTTTTTCTCTTACGCCTGGGTGCATAAATCACTCTGGTTAATTCTAGCTGCCATGTGTTTCCAGTGAACTGAAAAAGCAGGCCTGAAAAAAACTTCAGTGAAAGATATTTTACCTCTCTTTACTCCAGAGCAACAGTAGTAGGACTGCAAATAGGAAAGAGACTCAAGAGGGCTGGGAACTTAATGCTTAATTTCCCATTCTTTGTATGCACAGTTTACAGTTTTGTTATCTTGGCATGCCAGCCTCCTGTCCTAGTGGATGCCACTTCTTATCTCAGTTTCTTCACCTGTGTATTACTCTTTTCCTTTTAGGTAGAAGATGCAATAAACTGCTGAATGAGTACTTTGGGCAAGTCAGTAGCTAACACAATTTTATGACATAGCTCAGACTCAGTTCTGTGAAAGACAGGAGGGATTTTGCATATTGAAATTCGTTGTCATAACTCTGCACTAATGATGTCATTTATAACAGAAAGAGATGGTTTATCTTCCAAGAGCAGCAGAAGGAAATAAGACCAGCACTGCACTCCTAATGCACATTCGTCTAGGGATTAAATACACTTGCTTCATGTTTCTACCTGCATGCTTGTTGTTTGCCTTTTTCAATCCTCTGTAATCACTGTTTTATTTCTAGGAGACAAGGTGATTCCACTCTTTGTTCCGCAGTGTGGGGAATGCAGCAGTTGCTTAAGCACCAAGAGTAATCTGTGCAGTAAAAATGAGTGAGTATTCCTGGGTCGCCTGTGACCCCTATTTGATTTTTATTTATACAAAACTGATCACTCAACAGATTTCACTTGCCGTTATTTCTGATCATCTTTCAAACAGCATTTGTTCAGCTGCTGGATTAATGCCTGACGGCACCACTAGGTTCACCTGTGAAGGCAAAGCAGTTCACCATTTTATCGGCACGAGTACCTTCACTGAATACACCGTAGTGCACGAATCTGCTGCAGCCAAAATCGATTCTGCTGCTCCTCTCGAAAAAGTTTGTCTCATTGGCTGTGGATTTTCAACTGGTTACGGGGCTGCTGTGCAGACTGCCAAGGTCAGTACCATGGGGGGGGGGTGTTTCTGCTATCTCGTGAGGTCTGTTGAGGATCGTGTGGCCTGTGAGCGGGTTGTCAGGACAGCAGCCAGGAGCTGCAGACTCTGTTGAGTTGAGGGTGGAAAGAAGATACTACTTCAGTATCAGATGCCTACTTCAGTTTCTCTGTCTCTAAGGTGCTCAGAAGTCTGCAATTCAAAAGCCAGTAAAAATACTTCTTACCATCTATTAAGTTTTCTCTCATTGGTTTATCACCCCTAGAAAAATGTTACAACAGAGCTGATTTGTTTTATTGTAGCTTAAGTCTAGGAATAGCTGGAAGCCTAAATGTACAACATTCATGATTTGTAGCAATACATTCGTTTCCAGTGGAGTGGCACTGCAGATCTTAACACCATGGGAATATAAAGCATAATTTAAAAAAAAAAGTGTCTCTAAACCTGAAGATGAGATGTGTAATGAAAACCTGGTCTCAGAAATGTATTTTAGGGACAATTTATCTTATTCACATGTAGGATTATAACAGTGTAGCTGGCTACTGCACCAGTTGGTATGCATGTGCAAATTCCTTCCCAGCAGGTAATTTTTAAATTACAAGATGTGCCTTAAGTGAAGACATGTTGGTAATAAGAAAATGCATTGTACTTTACCCAGACTGTAACAGCATGCCATATTTATATGGTTATTATAGGTGGAACCAGGCTCTATCTGTGCTGTCTTTGGCCTCGGAGGAGTTGGCCTCTCTGTTGTCATGGGCTGCAAGGCAGCTGGAGCTTCCCGCATCATTGCCGTTGACATCAACAAGGATAAGTTTGCCAAGGCCAAGGAGCTGGGAGCCACTGACTGTGTCAACCCTAAAGATTTCAAGAAGCCTGTGGAGGAGGTGCTCACTGAGATGACCGGCCATGGCGTGGACTACTCCTTTGAGGTCATCGGCCGTACCGAAACCATGGTATGCAACCAAAACGTGTGGTCAAACGAGGCATTAGCTTATTCGCTCTCTCTGCGCTAACCCACTAAGCAGTGAGGGTGAGGAGCTGCAGGCCACTGGCAAAGTGTCAAGCTAACTTCAGACCTGTCAATCCAGCTATCTGCCGCTGAGATGCAGGAACAGAAGCATGCTCAAAAACTTAGGAAAGGGAACTTCCATGTAGTCCCCTGGCCTAACCAGGGAGGACAAATTTCACGTAGCCCACTCTCTGCTTTCCAACAGTGGTGTATCAGTAACGACTAAGACAAAATGGGGAAGCAGAACAAAGCTAGGACATGTCTAACCTATGACAGGAGATACAATGGTGTAAGCAGATACAATGGGAATTGTTTGATGGGGTTTCAGTTACACAAAATGAATTGCAAGCTGAGCCCTGAGAGGAGGAGAAGGAATTCAAACTTTTTGTGCCCCAGTGGCAAATCTGGCCTGACTCTGGGGTGTCCCTGTGTTTCAAATGCAGACTGCAGCCTTGGCCTGTTGCCACAACAACTACGGAGTCAGTGTGATCGTGGGAGTGCCCCCTGCGGCACAGAAGATCTCTTTTGACCCCATGCTCCTCTTCACTGGTCGCACCTGGAAAGGGTCCGTCTTTGGAGGTAAGGACTTGGAAAGATGTGATTTGACTGGCTTGGGAAACTTGTAAATAATCTGGAATGAAATGGGATATATCTAAATTCATTTCATTGCTGAAGTTGTCCTGTTGGGAGTAATATTGGTAGCTATTTTGCTGACAAAGAAGCACAAAGGGAATTAATTATGGGAACTGTTAGTGAGAGGAGGAAAGAGAAAAACAGAGAGGGAAGGAGGAGGGAAAAAGGGGGAGAGAAGAAGAGGCAGAGAAAGGAAGAAATAAAAAGACAAAAAGTAGAGAAAAAGAAGAAGGGAAACATAAAAAGAGGGGAAAATGAGAAAAAAAAGAAAGGAGTCAAGAGAGAAAGGTAGAAGAAGAGAGAAAGAAAAGGAAGAGGAAGGGAGGGAGGGAGAAGAAGAGAAAAATAGAGACAAGAAAAAGAGATAAGGAAAGAAAAGGAGAAAGAAAAGGACAAAGGGAGAAAAAGAAAATGAAGAATAGATGGGGAGGGGAGGGGGGTGGGGAGGGAAGGAGAGAAAAAGAGCCAGAGTGAAAAGGAGGATGAGAGGAACAGTCAGACAGAAAGAGAAGGAAAGAAAAAGAGAGAGCGGGAGAGGTGGAGAGTCAGGACCCTAAAGGACACTAAGGGTCCGACTCCAGCTCAGCCCCTTGCCAGCTGCCGTCAGGCCATTCCAGTTCTTTCTCTCTTCTGAGCTCTCCCAGCAGAGCTGCACACTCCACAAACCCTAGCTCACTCAACACAAAGCTGAAGGCCACAGAAAACTTATTTCCAACAAGAAGTTTTCTCGCTCACAACCAGTTCCTCTGATGTATTTCATAGACACCTGTGTAAACAAAACCAAAACAGCAGAGACAAATTAGGTTCCTCTGGAAGGGCATCTTTCTATTTGAGCTAGCTCCATCTAATGCTGCTTGTAAGAAAAAAGAGACCCACTGTCCCCAGCACCCCCAATTTTGACTAGGCAGTGAAGTTACCAGTTACCAACATGCTTGTCAGTACTCTGCTGTTTCTATGATGTGTGATTTAGCGGACAATGGATTAATAGACAGGTTGAAACAGTATTTAGTGTGAGGGAAAGTTTGGATTCTGTAAAGATTAAAATGTTAGAAAATTAGTCTTTGACCAGTAGGGCACTTACTGGGTTTGTCATATGTAGAATAGCTGCACTTCGTCCCATGCCTCCTGCAGGCACTCTGTGTTGCAAAGGTAAAGATATGCTTCAACGTCTCATCATACCATTCTGCTATAGAACTTCCATCTGAAAATTTAAGCTGCTGTGAGTTTTATCTATTTTCACAAGCATTTAATGATTCTTTATCCATTGAATGTGGTTTTTTTTCAGGCTGGAAGAGTAAAGATTCAGTCCCTAAACTAGTTGCTGACTACATGAAGAAAAAATTTGTTCTAGATACATTAATAACCCACACACTTCCTCTCACTAAAATCAATGAAGGATTTGAACTCCTAAGGACAGGGAAGAGGTAAACATTGTTTAATTGTAAAGGTTCTATATAAATAACCTAAAAGAGCTGTATGGTGACACAGAGTATGACTTCATGGCAGAGAATAGGGAAGGCAACCCACTGTGGCCCTGAATCTTGCTCAGTGTGCATCCGTGAGTTGCAGCTGTAGTAGGAAAGCCAGCAAAGCTCTAGCTTTTGGCATCCAGTGGGCCCTGTCGTTCATTGCAGAGGAACTTTCAGATCCCAGTTTGAGCAAAGACTTTGGGTGGCAGAGGGAGAAAAGACCACACAAATGAGGACATCTCTGCCCACCAGCCATTGGAAAAGAGCAGACAACCAAGGGAGCCTGGGAATGCCAAGCTGTAGAGTGACAGAGGTTAGCTACATCGCATTCCAATAAAAGTTTTAGGATGAGGAGCAGGAACACAGAAACAGTCTGTGTTTAGTGGAAGAGCAAGTCACCGTTCCTCGTGTGAGTTAGGGAAGAGAGTCCCAGTGCAATTTTAGTCCTGAAGTCACTGGGTAGTTGACCTTGAACTTCAGAGCTTTTCAAAAACAAAAGTACTTGATGTATATATACGTTGCAAACTCAGAATTTAGCTCTTGTGCATTCCTCAAATATTGTGAGAGTTCAGCTCAGACTCTGTTTTCACAGGGTGTTGAAATTGGAAATACCATTTGCCAGAGACATTTGACAAGATTCACCATGGGGAATAATTGAAAATTTTCCTTGGCAGAAGTGGGAAATATATTTGTATATCTTAGCATGTGTGGGGACTACCCTTTTTGAAGGTTCTAGCTGCTTATAACTTTCACAGTCTGGAGAATTACATTAATGTTTTATTTTAATTGTCTTTTGCTAGCAGTTATTGTAGGTGTTACTTGCTCCAAATATAAAAAGTGTGTAACAGAAGAATTTAGCCCTTGAGGTTTGTTCTCAGGTTCTAAGTATGCAGCACACACTTCATTTTTTGTCTGTCCTTATCTTAGAAGTGCTGTAAATTGTAGTTAGAGATTTTAGTGTAACAAATGGGGAAAAGTGGTGAGGACAGAGATGCCATCAGCTTTGCTAAAACACTGACAGTCAACCTAGAGACAGAGGCATGGTGCAGCTGAGCATTTTGACTAAGTGAAACCCTTCAGTTCTCCAGCCCAGAATAAGCCATACCATTCGGAGGTTAGAGCCATTTGTAACTGGAAGAATGTGTCTAAGCCCCCCTCCAAGGACTTCCCAGCCTATATTTTGGAGCCCTGGGCTTCCTAAGGGAAGGCTTTGCAGTCTTGCATGACTTTTGCTTTCTGCATGGGCAGTGAGGTTTGCACATGTGCACATGTTTGCAGATGTTTGCACATTGTGCTGCAAGCTGGGGTGGGAAGGGGAGTAGCCTGCTTGACAGCAATAGCTTAGATTTTCAGAAAAAACTTCAGTGTTTTGCTGATGTCAGCACAGGGGCTTTTCTACAGTCACTAACTTGACATTTTATATTGCAGTATTCGCAGTGTCCTGCTGCTTTAAAAAAATCAGCACTGATAACACAGAGATGTTTTCGTTATCGCTGAGCAGTGCTTACACAGAGCCAAGGGCTTTCCTGCTTCTCACCCCACCCACCAGCCAGTGGGCTGGGGGTGCACCAGAACATGTCCGGGGCACAGCTGGGACAGCTGACCCCCCTGACCAAAGGGATATTCCATGCCATATGACGTCAGGCTCAATGTATAAAGCTGGGGGAAGAAGAAGGAAGCAGGGGATGTTTGGAGTGACGGCATTTTGTCTTCCCAAGTAACCATTACGTGTGATGGAGCCCTGCTTTCCTGGAGATGGCTGAACACCTGCCTGCCGATGGGAAGTGGTGAATCAATTCCTTGTTTTGCTTTGCTCGCATGCAAGTGGCTTTTGCTTTACTTATTAAACTGTCTTTATCTCAACCCACAAGTTTTCTCACTTTTACTCTTCTGATTTGCTCCCCCTTCCATCCAGGGAGGAGTGACCGATCAGCTGTGTGATACTTCTTGTTGTCTGGGTTAAACCACAACACAAACCTAAAGCATCTTACTGCTTTCTGCATTTGTTACATGGAAACAGAAACAGAGGTTATTGCTATCTCGGCAAACATGGTCAACACTGACTTATCTTTTGAAAGTACTTATCAGAGTACTCACGTGCGTCGTATCTGGGTAAAAGAGCCTGTGAAGGGGACTGTGTGCTAATGGTGATTTACTTGTTTGTGTCAGCAGAGAAAGTCCTTGAGCCGCCCTGCTAGGTTAATGATTGGAGGATAAGTTTACCAAGAGATTAGACTTTAACAGAAGAAAATCTTTAAACACGTGTGTGTATAATAAACTCAGTTCACGCAGTAATTAAGACTCAAACTTCAGTCATTTGTTTCAGTGGGGTTACCTGTGCAGTCAGGGCTGAAGATTTTTTCTGGACCATAAAATAATCCTTTTCAGGTGCAGTTCAGCTGAAGAGTTCTCATCTCTTTCAAGGCAGGTTGTGTGTGAACCAACAGTGTGTCCTGGATCACTATTTGAAATAGAAAGAGAGGGGTTTTAATTCCACTTAACTGATCTCATCTGTAGTAACGGATTCAGCAGAAACAAGAGCATAATATCTTAATTCTTAGAGCAGTCTAACCAAATGTTTTCTGCGGAGGCCAAGCTACTTTATCGTACCAGCTAAGGTAGGTTTAACTTAAACAGAAGCCAAAGGAGGCCTGTTTAAACCAGGCTTGTGAGGCTAGGAGGAAGGAGCATGGAGAGGTAAAGTATCCTGCATATACCAGATACATGGGTTTTCCCAAGGCATTCCCTATTGCATGAAGGGTAATATAACAGAGTCTTCAGAGTAGAAGAAGAAAAATTTTAAAAAGGAGAGCTAGGGAATAAAGTACCACAAACTTCCTCACTTCTGTCCTTTTCAGGATCATGCAAACCCCATTTCTGTTGTTGTAATCTGCCAAGCATAGTAAACACCTGCTGTCAGTGTCTTTCATAGGATAGTAGCTGGGGTCCAAAACAGTAAACCCACTAAATCAGTCTTCTTAGGGACATTTTATAAGGCAGCAACCTAGTTCTGTCTTCACAGGGAGGAAACAAGTGGTTTCTGACACTGGGGAACGACAAATAGTTCATACTGTCCTAGAGTATTTCTCCTTGCAGATCCCCATCCACACTCAGCTGGAGATAAGTTTGCTTGTGTGACTGTGCAGCTCTGGACAGCATGGTTCCGACAGACCTTCCCAATGGCACTCTGACTCCCAGGTCCTCCAGGTGGGTTCAGGGCCTCATGACAGCACTATGAAAAAATCCAATAATTTCCCAAGAAATGAACTCATTGACAAAGTACAAATGGCGTTTCCACAGACCTTAAACTATTGCAGTGTTTACTGACCGTGACTTGGCTTCATGTACAGCTGAGCACTGCCGTGTTTCTGCTCTCCCACCACATCCCCCAGTCCACCCAGCAAGTCTCCCAGGAGCCAGCACAGGAGAGATGTGCAGCTCCAGCAGCGCATGCTGGGTGTGCGAGGACACGTGCTGTGCAGCTCTGGTTTTACACGCGTGTGAGATCACCCTCCCTGACCACGCATGACGGGCATAATTCCCTCTGTTGCTTCCAGGTTACCAGATGGAAAGCACGGATCCCAGTAAAAAAAAACCCACTGTGCACAATTACAGGCCAATGTTTTGCTCAAAGGCTGTCACATCTTTGGCTACTGAGGACAAGTGAAAAAAAAATTTCTCTCTTGCAAGATATACAAATCATACCACAGGACATGATAGATTTGTTTGGTTATTATTAATGCAGCGGGCAGACCAGGCTGAATACTGAAAACCTTAAAAACTTCATTCTAAAAATCATTACTCCTGGGAAATCATACATAAGCAGTTCTCAAGAGTCCAGTGGAGGCTACTAAAGGTGTGCAAAGTTTCCCGGGAAAAACTACTAAACTTCCCCGTGCACATGCAATACGGATCAAAATGATCTGAAAGTGCACGGCTGCTCTATGCCTGGGGCTCAGCTCCATGTCAGGAGCACGGCAGCACCTGGCCATCATCACACAGAGGCTGGGCTTGACCAGCAGGGCTGGGAACAGGCTGCCCAGCAGCACTTCCACGCAGCTGGAGCCACTGTCACAGGGCCACCATGCCCTGGGCAAGGGCTCTGCCAGCTGTGGGGCCACGGCTGCTGCTCTGCATCCGTGAACCTGGAGACAGGGTCAGGGGATTTGAGAGCTGGGGGGTTCGGCCTGCCAACAGCAAGTGCTGCTGCTGCTGCTGGGCCTTCCTTCCCTCTCCCCCCATGGCACAGGGCTGGGACATGCGGCAGCAGCACTAACACACACCTCTGCAGGCACTGCCCTGAACACGGACACCTGGGGCTGGCGGCTTCACTCCCAAAGGGCGTGCGTGTTTATCCACCCTACCGTGGTTCCACCGCCTTTTTTTTCCCTTTTTAAATTTGTAATCCTTTTGCAAATACCCTGGGGGGAACCGCTGCCAGGTCAAAAGCTGCCCCTTGGCAGCAAGGGGACCCGAGAAAGCCTGAGCAAGCGGTGCTGCCAATCTCCTCCCTCCACACCTGCCAGAAGCAACTGGAGGAGAAAAATCCAGCTGAGCTCTCTGTGCCTCTCCGGCAGGGAGGGCAGGGCATGGCCCCATGGCACAGCCTTTTTTGCCTCCCCGAAGGGCCTACTGCAGCCTTTGGGCTTCTCCCTGCCGCTCAGCACCGCACAGGGATCACACGCTGCTCCCTGCTCTCCCGCCAGTCCCGCCAGGACTCCCTCCACGCTCCTGCCTCCCAGTGCAGCTGTGGCTGGCGGAGTCCCAGGAGGGCTGCGGCTCCACGGCTGGGCCATTTCGCAACCCAGAGCTTGGGCCAGACGGGCGGCCGCTCCCCTCCCGCCTGCCGCAGCGACAACAGCTCTGCCGAGACCTCATGGCCACTGCTGGAAAAGTAAGGACAACCCATTGCCCACCTTCCTTTGCAGGGTGCCCTGTTCATGGGGAAACGCTGCAAATGGCTCAGCCTGCACACCTCTGCTGCATGCTCTCTTTCCCCCACCCTGACCCCCCCAAGTCATCCAAACCCCTTTGAGTTACACCAGCTTCTGCTTCCCTACGAGTGCAGGTGTCAGCACCTGCGTCAGGCAGCGTGTTCCTCTGCTGTTCTGCCCGGCAGCTCAGCAATGGAAATACCGAACAGTGCCACTCTGAAAAACCCCCTCCTGCTCAGCCTCACCCTGCGCTCCTCCCCGCTGCCCTGGGGTCCCCCCAGAGCCCTCTCCCACAGACACAAGGCAGGAGGTTTTGCCAGGTCCACACTCCCAGGGAACACACAACCCTCTCCCTCTGGGGACTGGTCACTTCATCTTTGCCTTCCACACTTCCCGCTGCACCAGTGTTTGCTGAACATCCCTTGGCTTCGCATTCAGCTGAGCAATGGAACGTCTTGGCTCTCCCACCACGTTCCCTCACCAAGCAAGTCCCCAGGAACCAGCACAGGACAGTTGTGCAGCTCCAGCAGCATGTGCTGGGTGTGCCGGGACACACGCTGCACAGCTCTGCTCCAGGGGATTGTCAGACCACTGTCCCTGACCCTGCGCCAAAGGCAAACGTTCCCCCGCAGCGTCACCCCCTCTGTTGCCTCCAGGTCATCAGATGCAGAGCTGCTGTGGCCTGGGCCGTGGGCAAACCACTCTCTGTGGAGGAGGTGGAGGTTGCACCTCCAAAGGCAGGTGAAGTCCGTGTCAAGGTAAAAACCTGTCTCTATTTTTTTCTGCCTTGTGAGAAATGCTCTTCTTGTGGTTGTACCTGGAACGTCCCTGTCAGCGATCCGTGTCCACCAAAGACATTGGCATATCCATTATGATGCCCAATTGAGCGGGTGTGTTGATCTCCTT